AACCAGCTTCGGTGAAAGATCTCCTGCTGGTAAGAGACTGGCATCAACCATCTCAGAACCGACAGCGATGCAAAGCGCTTGCAGTAAGTAGGGTTTCTCCTGTGAACAGCCTTGCTTCAGAGGGTAAGAGATTCAAGAGGAACCTCATTGTACCAACACCCTCCTCTGTGCCAGTCCTATACTGTTGTTGACAGCATCTCCACCAAAAATGTGTTCTACCACGCTTTCCTAAATTCGCGTCTTGCAGCTCCTCTGAAAATCAGTTTCAGAGAGTCCATTTCCCAGGAAAGCCTACTGCTTCCAAGCTCTGTTGGAGTCCCCATTGATTTCAAATTCACTTACTCTTCTGGCAGATGCAGTGAAGGAGTTGGACTCGGGTGGTGGTATTTGCTCAGTGATGCTAGGCCTGGTTTCATGGCTGGAGTGGTTGGCAAAGGGCTCTTCCTTCCTTTCTACAATTTTAAACAAGAAGAGAAACCAAATGTTTCAGTATTGCACTTCCGAGGCCCTTCTTTACAAGCACAGTGTGCACCAAACTCAAGTTCAGAGTTGTGGTGACCTCGGTACGCCTTAGATCATACAGGTGACGTCAGTGCCAAGGCTGAGCAGGGCTTCCTGCAAGGAGGCTTCCCACTTACTAAAACCCATGATGGATACATTTGCCAGGCAAAGCTTTTGAACTTCATCCCCACAGACAAGCAAAACCTTTGCAGAAAGCACCTTAAGGAGGACAAGGAGATTTTTTTTTCTTTATTCATAATTTTGTTTCCTCTCAGGGATCATTCTTCCCTGTAACACTCGGGAAGAAAAGCAGAACGTGCCATTCCTGTTGTAGTACACGAATATGTGTCACAGCCCACGTCCCCGAGCGGGCCTGGTGGTGGATTTCATCGCACGGTTCTGCTGCTGTTGCTTATGCATGTGGGCTGAATTTCTGGTCTGCTATAGCGAAATCCATTTTTGTACATGAAGCCAGGACCAATTCCCAACAAAAATCTTTAACAGGGCTCCAAGTGAGCGAAGCAAACACCATCAAAGCTCACAGTTGGCTCCCTGCTTGTTAGACAAGTGCAATCGTCCAGTATGAATTTTTTTTTGTATCTATGCACTATGTTTAGTGCATAAGAACATCCACTGGATGTTACTGGGGCAGAGTGAGCAGAAACCATGTCTCAGGCAATAGGTTCAATCGACAGGGGGGCACAGGGCTCTAAGAATATTTACCAAACACAGCCACATGCAAAGTGCCTGAGAAACCATGTACCTACACCAACACCACAACGCTTTCCTCCCGCAGCTGTGAGTGCCTCACACAGCCACGGTTTTGAAAAAACTAAGTCATTTTAAGTGTAATCACCCAAACAGTACTGGCAAATGAGGCATGTGCAGAGAATACAGATCTTTTATTACATATAAAAAGCAGTTTGGTATGGAGCATCTGTGAGGATGGCACCTTGGGGAGTGAAGATCGATCTCTCTGAAACAAACGCTCTCAGTCCTAGAACGTAGGATTGAAAGGACATGCAAACCAGAAAGCAGCAAGCAAGAGAAACATTTAAAATTAACAGGCAGTTGTCAGAACTGACAGATCCAGAATTGAAGAGGCAAAGACGCAGCTCCCCCAGGAAGGTGTGCATGATATTGAAGTCTCAGCCACCTTTCCCTCTCTTTGTGTCATCTCAGAACTTCCACCAAAGTCACCTAAAGAGAGGATTTCATTTTGTGAGCCTGACACGCAGACGCCTCCCACGCCACACAGCCCTTTTAGGAAGAGGCAGGAGATCCCCCATTTCCCCTTGCAGGCCTGACGCGGCGTTCAGCAGCCCGTGGCAATGCACGCAGACAAAAAATTACACGCTGGCCGTTTGCTGATTTCGTGAGAGTGAAGCCTGTAAGACACAGGAGAATCCCTGACCTTGCAGGAAGGGGGAGCAGACCCGGCCCGACCGCCAGCGGGCTTTACAGGCTGGGCTAGGTGGTGACTGGTAACCCCTTCTGGCATCTCACAGTACAGAGGCCAACTGTTAAGGTCAAGCCTGATGACAGGGGCACAGCTTAAGGGGTAATGACAGGCTGGGCAGAGCTCAACCTGTGGGCAAGGTGAGCAAAAGGAGTCAGCTGCAGAAGGACAGGCAACAGGACCTGTACCAGCAGCGAGAGAGACTGCATGACCACAGGCATCCTTCGCTGTCTTTAGGGGAGGGTCCCACGGCTTATTTTGCTACAATTTCAGCAATAATAAAAATTATGAATTCCAATCAAGGGGAACAGGTCAGGGTTAGCTCCATCTCCCCAAAACAAATTCAGCAAGACTGAAAATTTAGTTCTCTAATTTGGCATAAATATAATTTTTCTTAAGGGCTTTTTGAAGGGGTTCTTTTTTTGTTTTGGTTTGTTTTTTTGAGACATCGAAAGCTTCCCTGGCCTGCTTTAATTTACAATAATTACCTGTAGTAATAGCTACCAGCACAGATAATGACCACAGAATTTTACATTGATCTTTGTCTTGTTTACATACAACCCAATGCCAAATTGTTAATTGTCCTCAAGATGAATAAAATGGCATTGCTGCACTTGGCTTCTTTTATTTGAAGCACACAAATTTCTTACAGATTGTAAGAAACATGGTACTCTGAGGCACTCCAACAATTTCGCCACTCACCTCTTCGAATTTCTTCTCCTCCCAGTCTCTGCAAACTTAACAAATTTATCATAACCTGAGACCCTTCAAAACATACTCAAAATAAACTTCCGTATTATACTGCCAGCTTCTGCTTTGTCCCCCCTTATGCTCAGTTACCAAAGGAGTTAAATTTTTTTGATTTAAAAAGATCACTCATAACAATATTTTGGCTTTTTTTTCCATTCATTTGGACTTGGAACATTTTAGGACCACGGTCGTCTCCTACCTGTCCAGCACTGCTTAGAATTACCAAGTTATGTGAATAATAATTCTCAGAGGAAAATGGAGAGGAATAAGGCAATAATTTCCATGTTTTCAAAAACATGCCTCCTATATCCATCCAAGCATTTTAAACGTCTAGCAGATAATAAAGCATAATTGTTCTTAAGATTGTGTTTGAAACTAGTAATACTGTGACATTTACAATTTTCTGTGAACAGCTCTTTTCATCCCTGCTTCTCTTCGGAGTCCTCGTGTAACGAGTGGCTGACGTTGTTATCTCACGAACCGTGTTCTAAACAGAGTGCCGAAAACGTGCGCCCCATTCACATGTGCAACAAGGGACAACTATGTCTCCATCCAGCTGGACAAGTTCATATTTATTTTATTAGAGGTTTGAGAAGTTTACAAGGCAAACTAAATTTCAGTCCCGACTGAAATTTCTCCAAGGAGCCAACGTTCTCTCCAGGAAAGGAGAGCACAGGAAGCACAGCCTGAAGCTTGGTGTGTGATCCTTACTTGAATGCTTTTTGTCTTCGATTTGTTTAGCTTTAGTGGTTTGAAATAGATCAGTATAATGTGCTTTGCTCAGTGAATTGACTCAATAAAAAGACCTGCTCTGGCTTTACACAAAATTTGACAGCACTTTCCTTGCTGAAGGACCTTATGCTGTCCCTGAACCAGTTAAACATCACATAGCTCCACTTCTTACAGCAGCACACACATCAGAGGGGTTTCAGTCCAGTTCCGACCATGTTTGCAAGAACTGGCACACACCTACGCAGAGCCGCTGCCTCGTAAAACCCTGACTTAAGGAGCAAATAAATGCCACTTCTACCACACGTCTGTTTCTACCACTGACTTCTCCACTACATTTGCTTGATTTAAAAGCCGAAAGATTATTTCACCGTGTTACTGTCATACCCAAACAGCTCTCACAACTACCTGCTCTGCAAAGACCAGCCAGGATTCCCACCACCTCTCACACTGCGATAAACATGGTAACTGATGCAACTAGAACACAGGTGACACTTGTCCTGGCACAGGAGGACAAAACTTTAAACTACTCTTCTCTGCATGGACTTGTTTATTAGCACACTGGGGTACAGGCCACGCTGATGTAAAAAGCAGTTTAGCCACTAAACACATCATAGTCCAAGATCCATCTCTCTTTGCAGAAATATTAAGTACAAAGTCAGTCTTGGCTTACTGTAAAATTAAGTATCTTTATTTAAACTTTCTGTGCTGCACATACACACTGTTTAAACTAATCAAGGAAGCCTCAGAAGTTATGGAAAAAGAATGAGATTGAAATGAAGGAAGCAGGATGCCAGCAATATGCCATAATGTAAAGCTTAACGTGACTCGCTGCACTTAATCCTTATTTTCCACTATGTTCTGCAATTATTATACATTACAGTCAGAAAAAAGTTCTTCATCTCTGTAATTACACAGAACAGCTTCAGCCCTTCGTTTCATTTCTCTGAGATAAATACAACAGGCTATTACCTTCCTACACGTTCAGTTGCATTTCTACCACCTCGCAGCAACTGGAGCGTTCATCCTGAAATCGGCCAAGGAGAAAGAACCTACTGTCTAAGAACAACCTGTGAACAATGTGTTATCTTAAATTCAAGTGAGCTGGAAGTAGAAATTAAAATATTATCCGCAGCTATTTTTTTGAGAAATTGCACTGACTTGGGGGTCAGCATTCAGATGAGCTTTTTTAGTGCACTGTCTACAGAGTTCTCCATACACTGTGCATATACACTGGAAGTAAGACTTTCGGGATGCCTTTAACAGCTAAACAAAAAAATCCAAGGCTGTACTAAGTCTTACCTGACTCTTTTTCAGCATCTGATTCTGAAACTTCATCTTCTTCAGCTTCTTCCTCTTCTTCAGAACTAGAACTGCTAGAGTCCTTGTTCTCTTCCTCCATTTCCATAGACTTCAGCGTGTCTTCCTCATAAAGAATCTTCTCTTTGCTGCAAGATACAGAAGTTTTAAGGACTACCAGAGGAGTGAATTATTTCTGAGTTCCACCTCTCAGGAACATGTAGACATGATTTGCTACATATAGAACAAGCAAAAGGAAAAAATCCATCTACAGACTCAACATCCCAGCACTTCTTAGCACTGCTTATTTGCTGTGGATTCCAATGCCAGTCTCATGTTTCCTAAATTTGCAAGCATTTCTCAGTCCAAAAATATGTGATGTCACCTTTCCTAGTGCAACACAACTCATCGGCTGGGCTGTATGGCTCTGAGCAACCACAAAGACACAGTTCTCAGCCCAAAGGTCAACTTGATAATGAGCAAGAACAGTTGGGGGACCAAACACCAGCCCAACTCCTTGTTCTACCATTCAGCAGGTATGTTAAGAAGCAGCTAAAACTGTTTTTAAGGGAGCTCAAGTTTAAAAGAAGCCATGAAATGAACATGAACAGTAGTAAACTTTTTAAACCACCCAAGGCCAGCTGACTGCTGGCCTCCCATCACACTCTGTGCAGCTTCTTTTCAAGGAGGAGGGAAGAGACGTACTTGGTGAAGAGTCCGCTCTGAGGCTTGCCGTTCATGTCGGCTTCAATCAGCTTATTCCTCGTCTCCTTCTCACTTCGCAACTGTCAAAAAGTCCACGTAGATTGGAGAAAGAATGAAGAGAGACATCTCAACAAGCCACCTCGGCACAAAATGATAATTACCACAGCAGAAGGTCATCCCAGCCTCATTAGACAAAAAATACTGTGGATTGTTTAGCAGGGCCAATTCAACACCAGCAAGAGCATTGCATATCTGGGACTAGAGCTCCATAAGGTCACAGCTACACACCCCACACATCCTTAGGCTCAAGCTACAATCCGATAAAACCTTCCAAGAAGCCTGCAGCAGTCCCTGCTGAGACCCAGAGCCAAATCCTGACTTCCACAATACTGCCCTGCATCTGCCCGTGCAGACACAATGCTGGAGGTCTGTCCATATGCGTTTGTACGTCCATGAAATCAGGCCTAGATTCAGCTGAAAATCTGCTGCCTCTGTAGCTATTATTTACTTGCTCTCAGAGGAGAGCACTCAGGTGTGTCCCGCGCAGGCAACGGACAGATCTCCCAGGAGGACGGGTCACGTAAACCTCTCCAACGCCAGCGTAAGCCACCACACAAGAATATCTGTGATATCTGCAGCAACTGAAATGTTTTGCCCAGAGAGCAGCAATATGAATCTTGGTCACCACTGACGGACAAAACAGTGACCAAAAAATCGTTTCATACCTTCTAGAAGCTCAGACACAGTTGAGGTAGAAAAAGGGATGGCAGTTAGAGACCTTCTCTTTTGTGTCAAGTCTAGTCTAGTTACTGCTCCTCTTTTGACAGGAGCTGACACCAGGCACAAGAAGCAAAAGTTTTGCAAATTCTGAATGTGGAAAAAGCTACATGGAGTCCAGCGAAGAGCCAAAATTTGGGGTACAGCATGTTGTTAAATAGAAGAAACTGTTGGAGCACAGCAAAGGGAAGTGCAGGAAAAAGGCTGCTCCATTCAAAGGTAATTCAGAGAATGGGGAAAAAAAATCCAAATCCAGATCAAATGAATTGCTTCCAGCAAACAAAATCTCTTCTTCTCTCCAATAACAGCAGCAAATCTTTCAGCAAGGACAGTATATTGTTCTGCTACAAGCTTTAGATTAAAAAAACAAATCTGATTTGAGAGCCATTTTTAAAGTGAAATGATGTACTTAGGAGGAGTGTCGTGGAACTGCCTATTTCATCCTTAACAAATGTTAAGTTTTCTATTTTAAGTGATAAAGATGGCACATGATAAACACACATGATAAAATGGTATTTCAACTAAAAAAAAATCAGATCCACTAAAAAAAGTGTGGTAAAATCCAGATTCTTCTCTTCTTCCCAGTTCTCCTATAGCTTGCTATAGTCATTTAGTAAATGGAGAAGGCCTTTATATAGTGCTACTATATAGAGAATCAGGGGGGCTGCTAGTCCCTGCAAAGTCAGCCTAAAAATGGGCTAGCACCCATCCAAAAAAAGATTCTTATTGTTTTGCCTTTTCTTTTTCTTCTTTTCCGAGGAGTGCAGTTATCTGCCGAATCCTGGTGTAGTGAGATAGGAGGAAATCCAAAATACAACACTGATAGTATTTATCAACACCTCATTTAGGAAGAAGCTGATGAATTTTTAAAAAGTTTCTGTGAATGTTAAGGATGCTATTTAAGGATGACAGCAGCTGTGTTATGATCAGAGCTGGAGTTCTACCACCCCCATTGTCAGTTCCTCAAAACACTTTACCGGGTTTTATCAGCAGTGTTCTCATTATGTCTGTTTCTGAATCGAATATTTTAAACGATAATTTCTGATTTTTATTTTTTTAAAGAAGGTTGGTTTGGTTTTTGGAAGAACCCAAATGAGTAGACCAGATGAAACAGGATAAAATGCAATAAAAAAAATGAACTTTCTGACTTGACTGGCTTACTTTGATCAAGATATATTTTTGCTTTCATTTTTTATGCCAACTTTCTGCTTACAAACCCTTCCAATATCTCCATTGCATTATGACACGGTGATTTAATATGGTTTTGAAATCACCAATTTTTTTTTAGTCCAGAATTCCCTGAAGTTTATAATTTCTGCTCACTCAAACAAAAGTCTCCCTATCGTAAAGGCAGATGTGGTAACAAATCTCTTTCTCAACACTGACAGCGTGTCTCCTTGGATCCTTTGATGCAAACACAAAGTTGACCCGGGCGACCACTCGTTAAGAAAAGAGCAGTTTGATGCTGGAGAGCGTGTCAGCTAACTCAGCCCCTACAGAACAACACCAGCTCCACAGATGAGCTACACGTTCCTTACCAGTTCACATAATTCTGCATGTCAGCACACTGCTGACCTTCCTGATGCAGTCATCCAGGTTTCCATATTTCTAGCTATGAAAAATATCGGGGTAATTAAAGATTCCAAATGAATAACATAAAAAATAACAGCTGGGGCTCAGCTTCATGGGGCTGCTGATGCCATACGTCTTACGAGAACACCCGTGCATGAAAAGGTAATGGGAGAGGTGGAAAATGATCTGCCAGCAACTCACCACAGTCTGTTTCTTCTGCAGCATTTCTAAATGCTCAACCAGCCCCTCATCGGCCACGTCGAACGGTGTCTGGCCCTGATGCGACAAGAGGAGACAAGAGGATGTCTGACATGGCAAGGTGTCAATGTTCAGAACAGCACTACCTACCAGCGAAGAACAAAAGGGAACATGCCCCACGTCCTCCCTCCCCAAATGCTGAGTAACAGACGCTGTTTCACGCCAGAGTAGGGAAAACCATGCGACAGAGATGGTCGTTTTACGACTCAGTCCTTGATCAGAGCAACCTCAGTCACAGAAGTGCAGTTCCCTGATTGCCGCTGCTCACAGCTGACAACCAGGACTGAAGTATTTGGGTTTCCAGGTTTCTAAAAAGGACACTCTGGTACTGAGAAGGAACACGAACAACCTGTTCAACTGGATCATCGTGTACTTGAACCTCCTGAAAGGCTGACAGTCATCAGCAGGCCAAAAAATCTGGGAGCCATTTCCACATCCATGGGCATTTACAAAATAAAACAAACCAGAAAAATTACTTTGGGGCACAAACCAAGAAATCAGTTACTTCAGCATCACTAAAGCTAAAATAACCATTTTATTAAGAACACAATGAAACCTGATGGCTAGGGGTCAAATAAATACAGGTTGCCTTGGTCATCCAACCTGGAAAGATAACAATCCTTGCCTGGAAAGAGCAGGTAATGCTGCAAATACAGCTGTGTCTGATTCTTTTCAAGTCTGGCACGATATAAAACCCACACACATTCTGAACACTTTGGAAAAACACTCGATGGCACTTAAATCCAAAAAGATTCCCCGTATTTTGGAAGCCAAAGAGCTCACCACGCTAAAATGGCTCCTTCTCATAAAGCCATGTCTTTGACATCGGTTTCCAGTACAGATGCACTCAAACCATCCAGTGCCACATTTCTCTTACCAAACTGTCTGCTTTCGTTCCCAGGTGCTGTGCCAAGCACATACAACCTCGTTTCCTCCCCCAGAAGCAGCCACAGGACAAGGGAACCCACTCCAGCAGGAAGCGGTTCACAGACACTGCCTGGACGTCGCAGCGGGGGGAACACAAAGAACAACCCCGGACAGGCACGCGTCAGCTCTTGAAAATCCATGGGCTCTTTGAGGAAAAACTTCTAGCTATTAGGATGGAAGAGGAACTTTATTCTCCTTTTTTTTCTTCCATTCTATTTTTCTTCACTCATTTCTCACGAATCTGAGTCAATATTTCCGTTTCTCTTTCTATGACCAATGTAGTACAACAGGAAGGATTTAAAAGCTACCAGTTTCTCGAGGGCTCACTGGTTTTCAGTGCCTTATACCTTAATATTAGCATATTATTTTGCACTCCAATACTGTCATTCTTGTTGTTTAATTTGTCAGGATTACGCTAAAACAGAAAGACATGGATTAGCACCTATCCTTTCTCACAATCTTGGTCCTCAAGTTTAATCACTGATCTTTTCCAGTAACACCTGAAACCTTTTCTGCCTTCCTCCAGTCAAGATTCTTTCTTTTGTGATGCTTTCAAACGCTCCAGTGCACACGCCTGAACTGCTCACCATAAAACTTCGTCATGATGTTGGAACAAGTGGTAGGCAATGAAGTTGATATTCACCTGGCCATAAAACACATTGCATGAGTTGTGCCAACACCCATGCGTACTAACCAGCTTGTTCCTGACGTCCATGTCGCACAGTGCCTCAGCCAGGATGGAGCAAGCTTCCTTCACTCCCCAGTGCGCAGCTGCGTGGAGCGGAGTCCAGCCATCGTTGTCCTGGACGTTCAAATTAAACCCAGCCTGGATCAAGAGCCTGAGGAAAGAAGCAATATTGATTTTTGCCTACCTGAGAATGACTTCTTGACACAGAAGAGCTCCCACTGGGAGCTCCAGAGTAGGTAGCAGGGCTCACAACGTGCCAGCAGTTTCTTAACTTGTTGATTTACCTAAGCAACACCCCACTCGATGTACTTGCAACTGTAACAGAAAAACATAGTAAATGAAAAAAGTGACTTTGCTGTAAAACCTATTGGAATGTGTCTAATTGATAAGGCCCTTTCAGCATGTCCTAAATCAGGAGAATGCCTTAATTTCTAATCTGGCATCGGTGACCCAGTCTGGACTCCTGCTCCAACGGACCAGCAACACGAGACTTGCCCAGGCACTAAGCAATAAACCAACATCTCTGCAGACTGCCACCTCCGTAACAGGGAGCCAGCACAGCACCTGGCAGAAGAAGGACGTTTGGTAACTGGAGCTCAGTCTTGGTTCTACCAGAGAACTGCAGGAATGGCCCATCAGGAGATGATGCCAGCAGGACTGCCAGGCAAGAAGCAGTGAAGTTACTGTGATTGACGGATGTGAAAGTTGTAATTTAAATAACCCACATTTGGGTTAAACAACCCAAAACGCATTTTTGCAGACTAGTCCTGGCACAATTAAAGCAAATCTTACCCAAGTGAACCTGCTGGGAACACCCTCGCATCGCATTTACTGCTGCGCACCTCCCGCCCACTCCCCTCTCAATCAGACCAGAGCACGAGTGTTTCAAAGCATCTGGAGCTGGAATATTTAACACCGAAACAAACAGAAGAGGGTCAGTTGTAGTCTGAAGCTTCAGAGCCACACGCACACCGGTATGCCGTGATCGGATTAAAGTACCGAGTGGCTCATGCGTCACAACTGACTATTATCCAAGTTGCTTAAATATTGAAGAACATCCCAGGGGAATTCTGCAAGTCCAGTAAAACTGTTACTGAAAGCTTCTATCGTGGGAAATTCCACCATCCGGAGCTGCCTTCCTACAGCACAAGGGAAATCCAGCACGGCCCCAGAACGGCACCAACGATTTTGAAACTCCGGCAGCTTTACAGCGATGCGTTACTGTGCGAAATAGAACACAGTCACACTGTAACTGCAGTGTGTTTCTCTGTGAAAGAAATTTTAAATTAGGTGCTGACTTTATGTCGATTTTCCAGCTGGCAAAAGGAACATAGCTGCTAAGAGACTCAAGGTCACAGACAAATTCCACGTCCCATTTGAGAGTCAGCTAGCTCCTGGCTTTCAGCCCTTTTGGTTTAAGTCACAGAAACTTTGTACTTGAACGTACAGGGTGGCCATAAAATACACAAGAGTGGAAGGAACAATGTCATCTCTCCGTGGGATCTGTCTATCATTAGAACAATTAATGTCAAGGAGGAGCTGTCCAGAAGTAAGTCAGGCTGCAAACAGGGAACGCAGCCTTCCTTGAGCAGCACTGGATATACAACCCTCTGCTGAAAGTCCACAGGGCCACCACCTCAAATGCAGGAGATATTCCTCTTCTATTCCACATTAGCTGTGTTGGATTACTGTTCTTGGGCACGGTACAGGCACAGGCAGCTTGTAACTCAGTTATAAGCTCTAACGAATAAATACAAATAGGAAACATGGAGAACAACAAAACTAGTAGAGCTTAACAAGAAACAGCTCTTACACATCAAGTCATGCCACTTAAAACTAGGAAATTAAGGATCAAGATGGATGAATGCTTCCAGAAGGGATTTTAACATGGGCCATAGAGCAACCTTGCTGATGTTTATGGGCGGCTCCACCCATACGTAAAGAGCTGAGAAGAAAGTTTTATTGTTTTAAACCTTAATTTGACCTTACCTGTAGAAATGTTAATGCTTTACTGCCAGGAAACACTGCACTGGGTGAGTTCACGTTCACAATAAGTTTGTTAGTGCCAGAGTGGGAGAAGCAGAACTGCTAAGTGTTGGAATCCCTCTGTCAGCGCTGACAGCTGCAGCAGCAGTGGCATTAGGGGGCAGGGGACAGGGAGATGGGGCAGACACTGCATTTTTCCACTAGACTGGTCATGGAAACTGTTGGGGTGTTTGTGATTGTCATACAGCACGTATTGTCGCTTCGCAGGCTGAAATTGTATTTTTATCTCCTAATACTGTTTTACTTGCTAGTCCTAAACTATTAGTCTAGTAGTGAAAATTAAACCTTCTAATTTATGGCTCAGTCCCCAAAAAGCTTTCTTCATTTTAAAGGCCTAGAAGTATGAAAGAGAATCTTCCAGTCCCTACGTATTTCTAGGCGAACCACTATAGTTGAGCACATAAATCTACAGAGCCTTTTGAGAAACAGCAGCCTGAAAATCTCAGTATGAAACCAATTTCTCTCAAATATAAAGTTAGATGTGTTCCTTACGAAAATCAGCCTTGGGAAGGAGCTCCTACCTCATGACTTCAGAATAGCCCTTCGCCGCAGCAACATGAAGAGCTGTGGCACCTGTTCGAGGCTGTTTCACATCTTCGATTCTCCCACTGTTCAGCCACTGTCGGGCATCCTGAAGCATTTGCTGCTCCTCTTCTTTTCTTGCCAGGTCTAGGTCTACAACTAAGAGGGTGAAGCACAGAAGGAGAGATTATCAAGTGAAAGCTCTCACATATTTGTTAAATATACCCTATGTTTCATTTGCCATACAATATTAGTAAACGATTTGTAATCTCCCACAAAAATACCAGCAAAAGCATCTTCTAGGAGCGGGGAGAACTCCTGCATCATTGGCAGAGATTCCAAAGCTGTCTTAATAAAAAGAAATCTGAAAGTTGAGCTACCAGTTGCAAACCAGCCAGCTCAACTAACTACGAGCTCAACTGTGAGCTGTGAACCACGGGTGGAAGGACTGCATTCTAAATCAGCAGTGTCCTAGACTGAACTAACAAGGCCATGAACAATAGCTTAACAAACTGAATTAAACTACAGCGAGAGCATAACCTACAGTGAAGATCTGAAGAGATGATCCTAAGACGTCTCCTGCAAGAGCAGCATGACCCCAACTGTATGACCCCTCAAAAGTCAGTACAACCTGCCAGCTGCACACACAGAGATCTGTACTGTGCCAGAGCCATTCGTGCCAGGCACATGGAAAGAAATAGTTAATTCCATTGAGTAGCAAACCACCAGATTCTAACAAAACATAGTTCTAAACATTCTGGGGACAGAAGGCCAAAGAAAAATCTGCTTTGATGGCTTAAGAGAGCTGCTTTATATGAAGTCAAGATCAAGAAAGCTGGTTAATATTCAAGGATCACCTCCTCCAAGCTCAGGAGCGGTGCATCCCAATAAAGAGAAAGGCAGGTAGGAACACCAGGAGGCCTGCACGGATGAACAAGGAGCTCCTGGACCAACTCGGACACAAAAAGAAGGCCTATTGGGGGTGGAAGCAAGGCCAGGTAGCCTGGGAAGAATACAGAGAAATTGTCCGAGCAACCAGAGATCAGGTTAGGAAAGCCAAAGCCCTGATGGAGTTAAATCTGGCCAGGGACATCAACGGCAACAAGAAAAGCTTCTACAGATATGTCAGTGATAAAAAGAGATCAAGGGAAGATGTAGGCCCTCTCCAGAAGGAAACGGGGGACCTGGCTACCTGGGGTATGGAGAAGGCTGAGGTTCTCAACGACTTCTTTGCCTCAGTCTTCACTGGCAAGAGCTCCAGCGGCACAGCCCAAGTCACGGAAGGCAAAGGCAGGGACTGGGAGAATGAAGAACCGCCCACTGTAGGAGAAGATCAGGTTCGAGACCATCTAAAGAACCTGAAGGTGGACAAGTCCATGGGACCTGATGAGGTGCATCTGCGGGTCCTGAGGGAACTGGCAGATGAAGTTGCTAAGCCACTATCCATCATATTTCAGAAGTCGTGGCAATCTGGTGAAGCTCCCAACAACTGGAAAAGGGGAAACATAGCCCCCATCTTTAAAAAGGGGAAAAAAGACCCAAGGAACTATAGGCCAGTCAGTCTCACCTCTGTGCCCAGCGAGTTCATGGAGCAGATCCTCCTGGCGACTATGCTAAGGCACATAGAAAATAAGGAGGTGATTGGTGACAGTCAATATGGTTTCACTAAGGGCAAATCCTGCCTGACTAATTTGGTGGCCTTCTATGATGAGGTGACAGTATTGATGGATCGGGGAAGAGCAACTGACATCGTCTAACAGGACTTATTCAAAGCATTTGATACTGTCCCACAAGACATCCTTGTCTCTAAACTGGAACAACATGGTCTTGATGGATGGACCACTCGGTGGATAAGGAATTGGCTGGATGGTTGCTCTCAAAGAGTTGTGGTCAACGGTTCAATGTCCACATGGAGGCCTGTGACGAGTGGTGTTCCTCAGGGGTCAGTACTGGGACCAGTGCTATTTAACATCTTTGTTGGAGACATGGACAG